TTTTATGCTTACTACCAATTTATTTTTTTTGTTTATTTTCAGGTTGTCATCTTATGTCTTATCAAAAATGAATTTGATTATGCAAATTTTTTATAGGGAGATTCGAATTATAAGATAAAGATACATTGGTCAATTGGTCGTCTGTTTCTAAGACTAAGGATATAGGCAATTTAGGGATTACTGATCTTAATTTGTTAAATAAAGCGTTCTTGGGCAAATGGTAGTGGATATTTGCAAGCGAATCTAATTCGTGGTGGAAAAGGGGGATTTGCAACAAGAACAATGTAGATTCGAAGGCTATTTCAGTCAAGAGATCAGATTTTTCTAAAGCTTCTTGGATTTGGAAAGGGATGGTTAAAAGTTGTTTGGCTAAGGGTGATTTTGGGGATTATCTTAGAAATTATTTTCGTTAAAAAGTGAGTAAATGGGTTGGCATGATGTTTGGGTAAGGAGTATGCCTTTAAAAGACTGCTTTCTAAGGATGTATGTTCTTTCTGTTAAAAAAATGGGGAAGAATTTCTAATTTCAGAAAATAAAGTCAGTCAGGATGGTTTTGGGACATCCAGATGAGAAGAAATCTTGCAGACTGGGAGTTGGAGTTTTGGCTCGAATTAAATTATATTCTTTGCAATTTTTATGTTGATGTTTCCATGGAAGACACTTATGTTAGGACAGGAAATAGAGAAGGCACTTATTCCATTATATCTTGTTTAAAATTATTAAATGAAAAAGAAAAATGTGGATTTAACTTGGTCAAACCTTATTTGGCTTGGGGTGACTCATCCTCGGGTGGAAGTTTTTGTCTGTCAGGTTTTTTCGTATGAAGGTAGGAGTTAAAGTTAGCTGCTGAAACGTAGAGGCTCTGGGATCATGGATAATCTATGCCCTCTGTGTAGTTTCGATCTGAAAACGGTTTCTCATTTGTTTGTGTCTTGCTCGATAGTTTGGAAATTATAGTCCATTTTTTTGAAGATGTGGGATGTTCTTTTTGCTGTTCCAGAAAGTCCAGCTGCTCTAGTTTCAGTTTGGATGCTGCTGGTGCCTCGCTCGAAAATTCTGTTGTTTATTCTAGGGGCAATTTTATGGTCGGTCTAGAAGTACAGAAATAAGATTATTTTTTAAGGAATGAAGCTATACATCACACTACTGTTTTTCTTAACAAGGTACAGACTGGTTTCTTGATTCTCGGTGAAATTTCCTATTGTCCCAATTCTTTTTTACTGTCTTGTGGGTAATCCTACATTAGCTTATTCATGGATGTGTTATAATAAACCTTCGCTAGCTCGTTGTCTTGATGCCCTCCTCCTAAGGGTTTATTCAAGATAAATGTTGATGGGGCTGTGGATAAGTTTTGGATTAAAAGGGGAATATGTGGTTTACTAAGGTATGAAGATGGTACGGTGCTGGAGACCTTTTCTAAAAGTGTTGGTTCCAACCCTCCAATTTTGGCAGAACTGTTGGCTATCAAATCTGGTTTATTATACTTCATGAATTCGAATTGGAACTCAAGGGGAAGACTTATTTTGGAGAGTGATTGCGGCAAAGCCTTATATTGGATCAAGATTTCGGGTTCTTGTCCTACTTTACTTATTTTGCTAGTGAAGGAAATTGGGACTTTGGTAGTAGATAGGAATGTTATTGAAAGACGTGTCAATAGAGTTGTGAATTGTGAGATGGATGAATTAGCTAAGATAGGAATTTAATGAGCTTGTATTTTTTTGGTTTTTCTAGGAGGTTTATTTCTGCTGTAAGGTGGTGTTGTTGTAATGGTCATTTTGTATTGTTTTTTATTGGTTGATGGTAATAAAATTTTGAGGCACTCTTTTCCTCCTTCGAATGTCCACCGAGATACTTTAGTGTTTTGACGGTTATGAAGGGGTTTTAACGAGGCCTCGCTTTCTTATAAAAAACAATCTCATAAATTTCTTGGTTGGTTAGTTAGTTTTGGTCAAAAAAGTGGGCTAACTGTTGGATCCAAAAAAGATTCAAACTGACCATGAAATGCCTAACCCTGGTTCTTCTAGATTTTAACTAATGCTAATCTTGATGCAGCTAGTAGGTTGTATATAAAATTCATCTCTTCCCCAACTCACTTTTTTCTTTTCCTTCCATTTCTAGATTAAATTTTGTTACCTGCATCTGATAAAAAAAGAATTAATAACACTTAGGTGCGATCAAGGTTCAGCCTGATCTGGAAATTCCAAACCCCATCTTCCCTCTTGTATGAAATGATATGGAAATCCTTAATACATCTCATAGCTTTTTTGTGTGAAATGCATGTTTATACATCTTGGTTGTGTCTCTATAAATTCTAAAATCTTTTTCTCCTTCATAGGAGAGTTTCAAGAGCTAAATATTTCATTTTCTAACGTCTCTTTTGCTTTTCTGCAAAACAAATTGGTAGGGAATTTTTACAACAATGAACTAGCCTTATGTCTTCAATAATGCAACCAATGGACTTTAATTCGTAACTAAAAACAATGTTTTATTTTGGATTTTGATAAGTAAAGCTTTTGAATTAAATTTGATCTCTAGCCTTCTTTTTATATATCAAACATTTTGCTTTTCAGGGTGAAGTAAATTGTGTCAAATGGGATCGTACAGGTTCACTATTGGCTTCTTGTTCTGATGATATTACTGCAAAGGTTATACATATGCTATCTTTTCTTCATTACTTAGCAGGCATCCTTCATGACGATATAAATTTTTGTTTCGTTGTTCCTCGTCTGGTTGTTTTCTGTTTTGGAAAAATATATACATATAATTTAATTTTAAAATAGCATGCTACATTTTTGGATTATTTTACCTTTATTTCTGTTGGTGTTTTGTCTGGGTTTCTTTTGTAGCTGCAGCTTTATATATTGGTTTTTGTTCTTTTCTTATATGTTTCAACTAATAGAAACTCTTGATGCAGATATGGTTTATGAAGCAGGACAAGTATGTTCATGATCTGAGGGAGCATTCAAAGGTAGTTTTGGGCTTCCAAATTTTTTTATATAATTTGTCTGTGCATGTCTGGGTGCATTTATTTGTAATTTTAGGGGGAATTTTGAACAATTGTTCTGCAGGAGATATATGCCATCAGATGGAGTCCTACTGGGCCAGGGACGAACAATCCTAACCAGCAGCTAGTTCTTGCAAGGTAAAACTAAGTTATGCTTCTTATTAGGTCTTACATTTAAAGTCAGTTGATAGACCCGCTCGACTTAGTTGTCTCAAATAGCAAAATACTATCCTCTACATATAATCTTTTCAACTTTGAACTTGTCGATAAAGATCTGTAATTATACATTTGTCTTTTCCTCTCAACGTTTTATCACCATTATACTTGTGTACTCTCTCTCTCCCTCTTTTTGCAGTACATACTTGATGATGATAATTTTCAAAATTTTAATTGATATTTCAGGCAATACAAAAGTGGGTTGTGACAGAGGCATTGTTTCTAAAGCCTGTATTGGCGGTCATTTGATCCCAATTTAGGATGCCGTTCAAGATGAACACTAATTATAAATGAAATGCTTGTAATGTGTAGACTATGTCGCCTGAGCTTATATGAATCACGGTTTAACATTCTCTTCATCCTTTTGGTTTTTATGTAGTGCATCATTTAAATCCACTGTATAGCTGTGGGATGTGGAACTAGGGAAACTTCTCTACAGCTTGAATGGACACAGGTATCATCCCTCAAATCTGTTATTTATTCGTTTCTTCTAGTTAATCGGTGGCAGAAGTCAAATACTTATATAATTATATACATCATAAGGTCACTACTAGCCTTGTTGATGCTGAAATGAGCAATTAATCAAGCTGTTATTTATTCCTTTCTTCTATTTAAACTGCATTGCACTCTTTTTTAACTGAGTTTATTAATTTAACCCTCTAGGGACCCTGTATATTCGGTTGCATTTAGCCCAAACAGGGAGTATCTAGCCAGTGGATCTCTTGATAAGTCCATGCACATCTGGTCCTTGAAGGAAGGGAAGATTGTGAAAACATACACTGGCAATGGCGGAATATTTGAAGTCTGTTGGAACAAGGAAGGTGTCAAGATTGCCGCTTGTTTCGCAAACAATACGCTATGCATCTTAGACTTTAGAATGTAACAAACCTAGAAACTTCCCTCTCTATTTAATGGATTGTAGCTTACATGTGGGGAAGATGGCTGGCTGCAAGCTCTTAAAAGAACCAAGTTAAAATTAGGAATTTTCATTGTAGCGAAAAGGGGGGAAAACTGTAACTATAGCGTAGGTTTTGTAATTCCATGCTGAATTTTGGTAGTTGGTAATTTGTAATTGTGAGCTAAGTAACCACTGAAATGATCAATGATAATATTTTTTTTGTCATCTTGTAATTGAATTGGTGTCAATTGTGGATTCATTTATGATACTGATTCGTGTATGGTATGAGTTCAAATTATGACACTTTTGTACCAAAAGAAAACTCCATTGTCTTTCCAATGGAGTTAGTATAACCATGTCTTTAATCAAGTCGCAGTCATAACAAGGTTGAGCGTTGTATAGCCTTACTATTAAAATTTATCTCCCATCCATCATATTTTGTTATGTACAAGAAATCCGATCTTCTCTTTCAATAGTTCAAGAGGCAGGGGGAAAACTGCCTTTGTTGTCGATTATTACCGGCTAGTTTTCTCTCCTACGATATCAGAAAGAATTTTTCAAATTCATCAACTACAACTGAACTTAATTTATTTACCTTTCAAAGTACTTAATTTAATTACCTTTCAAAGTTCAATCTAACGTTCAATATATATGCTTAAAATTAACGTTGTTTATGAGGTATAACCTACTAGTCAAAGCTCAAAGACTTGGCAGTGCATTCACCTGTTATGCCTTGTCTGAGGTGTTTGTTGTGTGCACCATGTGGATTTGGACAACTACCAATCTTTTTTTCCATTAAATTTCACCGTCTAAATATCGATTATGAAAAGGGCTGTCCTATTTTCCTTCCTTGATTGCAGCACAATCTCCAGCTTTATAATTTCTCAAACCCTTTCGAAGAGATCAGGTCATGTTCAATGGAAAATGCAGCTTTTGTTTCTCAAAGAATCTGCACTTGAGCTCTGTTTCTTTCATGGTGTTTTTGAGGTAATACAGATGAAGTTTTCATATTTACACTGGCAACCCTGGTTGTACATTTTCTCTCTGTAAATGAACCAATGCTTTTTATACCATTTCGAGCACTTGATTTTGTATTTCGAGCTTCTTTTTTTCTCAATGATTCATCATTGTGCAAATCAGCAGCATGCATATTTCTGCAGATACTAGTAGGAAGAAGGACAAGAAGGTAACAGGAAAAGAAAGTCTATAAAGATGTGCTCCCTTCTAAATGCAATGAATCTACCAAAACTCCACCATGACGACTCTCGATTCATGATATTATCAAGCGAGGTGAGCCTCGGTTGCCGGTTCCGTATCGCTTCTTTAATCTTCAACTCGCAACTAAACGTATGATCTGATACAGGATGATCAAGTTGAATGGTGTTACGCCCTTAGTTTCTTTGCACGTTTAGCGACTTATGTTGCAATTCTAGGTGAGTACTTAGTAAGGATTGGAAAATCTCTATTTTGTTATGGACTAAAATGTAAACCGAAATTCATAAATGGTTTCTTGCAGCCGTGATGGTGGTTGTAATTGTGCTGCTTCTTAAGTACTTGACGGAGTTAGGTGACGAGAACGGTGATCGGGAGGATGCGAGGGCAACAACCGAGTCTGAGACTGAGCCTTTACGCCCTGAAAAGGTGATACCGATAACGTATGGAACGTGTGAAGATGACGTAGAAACAGGAAGTTGCAGTAGTGGTGAGGATTTATATGATGCAAGGATTTGTATAATTTGTTATGATGAACAAAGGAATTGTTTCTTTGTTCCTTGCGGACATTGTGCCACCTGCTATGATTGTGCTCAAAGGTAATTGTTGGAACAAAGTGATTTTTTTACCCTCTTTCTCAGTGTTAAATGATAGCTTCAGAAATCTAATTATGTGTTTGTTTTGCAGGATTTATGATGAGGAAAATAAGGTGTGCCCAGTGTGCAGAAGAATTATTGGCAAAGTCAGAAAACTTTTTGCTCCATAACTGTTTCCATTTCAAAGAATTCGGGAAGGAAAAAAGTATGTATTTTGATGGAAGGGAATGGAATTCAAAATTTTGTAAAGTAATGCTTCAAGGAGCTAAACTGTAGAAACCTCAGATTAATATCCTCCGGAGATCAAAATTTTCTCTTTAGTCAAATTCAATGTATTTTTTTTATTAGTCTGGGGCTGATAACATTTGCTCAAAAAAATTGATAATACATACACGTCCTACTAATTATTCAAACTCATCTTTAAAAAGAACAATACATTCTTTAACCATGGGATATTAAAAGTAACCTTTATAATACCATTTACTTAAAAAAATCAATGGATTTCTGCTAAAGATGGGAGCATAATGCGAATGAAATGGCACCACTAGCATCGTTTTGATGTACCATAATACAATGCGAATGAAACGGCAGCACATAATAAAGCTGTTGCAATCTCCATGCTTCCAAAACGAATAAACGATGTACCCTTTGGGGTGCCTAAATCTGAACAAGCGAGTTCTAAGCCCAATGCGTTACTGGAAAAAAGGGATAAGATAAGCAGCCTCGATTCGATGCGATGCGGGAAAGCACCATGGAACGTATCGTTTCTCGTGAACTCGTTCTCTCTCTATATATAAAATTCCTGCTTTTGGAATCATTGTGAACGACGACAAATTTAACCATTTTATACTTTCTAATAAAGTATATATTTTATTTAATATTCTATATTTGATTTAGTGATACACAAATTCAGATTAACTACTATATAGATCTATTATGGAATGATGTTACTTATGAATGGTAATTTAACTCGAATTAGACGGGGTTTGATTTGATCTGATCTGACGAGTTTAGATTTAAATAAAAATATATTCGGATTGGTCGGGTCAGATTTTTTTAAGGAATGAGATTGGGTCAGGTCGAGGGTAAAAATTTCGACCCGACCCGAGGATAATGACATAATTTTCTTAAATTTTTTTAACTAAGTTCTTATTTTATACTAGATCGGGTTAGATCAGATCAAATTTATACTCCAAAAATTCGATTCGAGTTGGATTAACAAAAAACTAGAGCCGTTTTCATCCCTAATTCTCACCAACTCAATTTTTTTTTCATTTATAATATTAAAATTTGAGCACAAACCAATTTGCCTTAGTGGTTAAAAAATCATTGTTGTTCCTAGAGATTACGAGTTCGAGCACCAACAACTGTAGCAGGATAATTGAGAGTACTTAGAACATATATTACTTTATAATCACTTTAGCGTAATAAAAAATATTATTATTTATTAAAATTCGAATATCAAACTCCTCTGAAAAAACTAATATCTCATTACTAGATTAATTTATTGTTACTTAATATATTATACTTTTAAAACCCTAATATGATGACATATGACCTCAATTAAATTCATTTATGAGCATTTTCATGAATTATTCAAAAATATATGTTCATAAATATTTAATAAAGCATGGACAAACGTTTATTCTGTATTTTTTAAATATAAGATGATTAACTCTTGGTATTAATGATTATATCATAAATAATTAAAATAAACCTAAATAATTTTTATATAAAAAGATTAATAAATGAACATAAATATATCGATGATCTATAAATAGTTCATTAAATATTTTATTTTTTATGACCCCAAATAAAGATGGACTTAGAAAAAGTGGGTGGGATAATAGTTTCCGTAAAATTTTAAAATTATCATATATTATTTATATATATTTTTATTAATAAACTGTTTTTAATTCCCTAAAATTTTAAATGTTTGTTAATCTTTTAAAATTTTAAAAATCGATTCTTAATAAAATATTTTACATTCGTTTATAGTCTTAAATAAATATTATTAAAACAAATAATTTATCATTTAAATTCCAAGTTGAAACCATCGCAACGTCCCAAAAATCAAAAACTTAATTTTAAGGGGTTCACTTCGACTAAAATTGGGATTTTAAAACAAAAACGTGGTTCGAGAGAGTCACCACCAATCTTTGTCTAGGGTGTGATTAGATCGCCCAAAAATGTTGTCATTTTAATGAAATTTAATTTTAAAAATCATCAAAACAACTTTTAGGCTTGTATTCCAGAAAAACAAGTACAATAGTCGATTACGTGTGGGGAAGGATTATCACCCCCATAACGCCTGGAAATCAATACCTAATCGATTAATTACTGTCTTCACAATGGAATTTATGAATTCAAATTTTAATTTAATTAATGATCCCCTCTTTAGTTAAATAAATACAATGTCATTTAACCTATTAAAATTAAAGAGAGAAAATTAACGATTCATGCATTTAACTGGAGAAAGTTAACCACCTAATATAAGGAAGAGTGACATCCCTCTCATTTTTAACTCAAGTGGCGAATCACTAATCTTCTTCTCGAAAATTTTAAGTTAAATTGTTGGCATTTAAACATTTCAAACCAAATGGAAACACCATCTAATATAAGGTAGAGTGACAGTTTCTCATGTTCAGAAAGAAAAAAGAAATATCAAAATCATTGTATTTATTTATCTAAGGTTATGCAACAAGCAAAAATCTTATTAAAGAAAATTACTAGGACTTTAAGATAGATAGAGAATTTTCAAATATTTATTAGTACTGAAACTAAATAACCAAATAGGGTTGAGAACATTTTAAGATGTTCTTATTTTGATTGGTTTCACTGAAGGGTATTTATTTACTTTAAATTATCATAATCGGACATACCATGTGTAACACCACAAATTCTGGGTTAGGAGTTTTGGATTTTTTTTCCATCGGGCTCTAGAATAAAATTTCCTTAGCTCATGAAAGGCTTGATCCTAGTGGGTTTTAGTTTGGGCTTAGGATGAGCCCAATATGAGTTAAAAGGGATGTTTTTAATCATGAGCCAAAATAGGAAGGACTAAATGAGTAAATAACCTATTTTTCAAAGTAAAGGTTGAAATCCCATTCATTGGGATAATATCACGTCTGAAAATTGTCTTCTCATTTTCACCCCATCTTTGTCGCATCCTCTCCACTCCATCTTCCTTCTTCATCTCCAAGCACAAGCAAAATTTAGAGCTTTAAGAATTTCAAGCATCCTCTGAAACTCTCAAGGTAATAACTATAATCTATTTCCTCCAAGATTCAATTCAAGCCATCATTTGCAAGTTTTAGTTGTGTTAACTAAAAATAGGGTTTAGTAGGGTTTATGGAACCTTAGGATTTTAGTTCTTTTTGAAGAGATTTGAGTTATAGAAATTGTTTCTACCATTTCCCAAAGTTCCAAAATGAGTTAACAATTCATTTTCCTTGTCTTGATTAGTGAAAGAGAAAAGAGAAAGCTTTAAGGCAATGGGGCAAGGATAAGCTAGTCCTTGGGTAATTTGGGGGACATTTCCAGCAATCTAGCATTAAGGTAACACGTTTCTAACTTGTCCATACCATATGTAGATCATTAGATGTTCATAAATGGTTAGTTAAGTTCATGAAGCATGCTTGAGTAGTTCATGGTAGATTCTATGTTTGATGTTTTTTAACATGAAAGATGATTTCTTTTAACTCCTAAAACCTCAAATAAGACTTTAATAAAGTTTATTAGCCTTATTAGGTCGAATGGGTGAGGTGAGGCCACAATTTCATGCCCAAAACAATGTATTTTTGGGCACGAGTATCGATACTAAAAGAATAATACCAATATTATTCTTCAACAAGTTACATTAAGGGGCTTTTGGAAGGGTAGTATCGATACTCATTCGTAGAGTATCAATACCAATGGTAGATTATAGATACTCCCCATAGAGGTATTGATATTAAGTTTTTTTTTCTTCAAAACATCGAATCTATTTTTGGTATCGGTACTCAAAGTAGTATCGATACCCTCCCATAGGAGTACCGACACTCCCACTAGAGTATCAATACCGTAAGTTTTTCTAAAAAAATCGAAGCTATTTTTAGTATCGATACTCACGGTGAGTATTGATACCCAAGGGCTAGTATCAATATTGTTGGCATAGTACAAATATCATCGTCATGAATTGGGAAATTAACCCAATTGATTTAAGTGTTCGATTTTGGGAGCGTTGAGGCCATAGAAGTATTAAGTACACGATTACAAGTGAAAACAACCAAAATAACTACAAAAACAACTAAAAACCACGTAAGTTAAAATGACACCATACTGGCCATTGTGTAATGCTCGGGAAATAGTCATGACACCCAAGTTACTTTAGTAGTATGGCGATTGCCCTCCATGATGTTATATCTAGATTTTGTTGGCCAAGTACGAATCCAATGCACAAAAAATTTTAAATCGTGCCCAATACTCGAGAGCCTACATGTGGGCTAGGAATGTAAGCTTTCGATGCACGTAAAATTCTTGTTCTTACCCCGAGACTGAACACCCATATCCCGTACATGTTTTCGTATACAAATATAGATGTCACATCACTTTCAAAACTATTTACTCATTTTGAAAACCCTTTAAAAGTTTGTTGCAAACTTAATTCCGCAAAAAATTAACATAATAAGTAAGTATTCATTAAGACATATTACAAAATATTTTGTTAAATTTAATTACATGCCATATAAGTTTACAAAATGATTACTATTATCCTAATATTACTGGCGAGTCAACCTTAATGGATGATATCTACTGATACTGTTGCACTCCTTACTAGATCAATCTCTACTCTTATTTACGCGTGAAAGTAACACACGTTAATTATTTACTTAATGAGATACAATATTGTAAAGTAACCTTTATGTATACATAAGTATGTCATATTTTTTAATTTACATCGAATTGTATATTCTTTAAGGATTTATAATCCTTCTCAGTTAAACTATATTCCATTCATGTTTATAATGCACCATTATGCATTTTCAATTATAGCGTACTTTTATACCGATAATGCACCCATATGCATTTCAGCTATGGCACCCTTTCATGCCGATAATGCACCCATATGCATTATTCTTTTGGCATCCTTTGATGCCAATAATTCACCCATATATATTATTCTTTTGTTCTTTCATTCTAGAGCATTCCATACTCTAATGTGGCGTTTGGTTTGCTGGAATCCCTTGGAATTAGGGGG